TCGGTTCAGTAGATCCAGAGATTACCCCCTACAACGTCACAAACTCACAATTCACAAACTTTACCTCTTTATAATATTAGTATAGATAATATGAATAAAATGTCATTATATTTTATCATCTTGTCGCTTTGTCAAGTTTGCCAAAGTTCACCGATTCGTTTCGCCCTGTAAGATGAACGTTTACGTTGAAATAACAGTAATAACAGATGTTTGGAAAGCGACTCATAAATCATTTTGTAAAATTATCTAAAATATTGATGTAATCGACTTGTCTTCGGTTTTATTGTCATGACATTTGGTCACAGTCATTCACGTCAAAGATATTTTCATGCCAATACCCGGATTTAGACAAGGTATCTTGGTACTATGATCTAATTGCATGATATATATATATATATATATATATATATATATATATATATAATATGTTATTTTCGTAACAAAATATATTTTGTGGGATAAATTGAGTCATGTCAGTGAAAAAATGTCTTATTTGAAGTTATTTTAACACAATAAAGCCTACAGCAGGTCGTTACTATTACATGATAGTCTTCCTTTCTACTTCAACTTATTACATGGAACACTTACAATTGAAATGTTTATTATACTAGACTAAAGCTAGACACTAAACAGCCTCCCGCCGTTTAAGAGACAAATATTACATGACGAGTGTTGTCAGCACTGTCTGTTCATATCCTCATTAAATAATTCAAATTAGATACAAATACGCTTTATTTAGTGTTCTAGCATTAGCCACTAGTTTAAGCACAGTTTCTACCGTAAATAATAGTTATAAGTTTTTATTGTAATGTCTTAACCTTAATTTAGTTTTAACTTTTTTTTCTAATTTAAAATGTAATAGAAAAACTGAAATTTTATAAACATATACCGGGGAAACGCCTCTTTTCCGGGATAAAAAGAAAAGATCTAGGTGCCTAATCTATCGTAAGCATAGCCTGTGCGTTACTTCCGGTCTATTTGTGAATTTCATCCAAATTCGTCCACTCGTTTCTAAATGAACTTAATTAACTTTATTGCACTTACATAGCTATATCTAAAATACAGAAATTAACAAATAATAAAATTAATTAGCAAAGATGGACTTATCTCTAGAAAAGATTTCTTCCAGTCAATCTAACTGAGATAAAGAGATAGTATTAAAAATCAGGCTAAAGTATAAAATATAAAAAGTATAAAAAATGCTAAAACACGTATTTACGTATTTTTTTTAGTTGTATTGAAGAGCATTAATATTAAGTTTCAAGTGATCATAAATATTTTTTTGGATTGTATTATAACGTATTTTCCTGTGGGAAAGAAATAATCTCCCGCGGTAAAAAGTAGCCTATGTCATTCTTGGAGCCCTTCAACTATTTCCACACAAAAAATCACGCCAATCCGACAAGCCGTTTTGACGTGAAAGAAAGACAAACAAAGAAACAAGCAAACAAACACACTTTTACATTTCTAATATTAATTATGGATAATAAATATATACATACATAAACTTTAGCAATTATAATAGTAGTTCGATATGTTTTTTGACAATTCACAGCGATGCGTATGGCACTGCGGCGGTGGCAACGGACGCATCGCGCGGGAGACGGCGGCTGCTCATTACCGCGCCGTGTGCCGGGCGCTGGTCGCCGAGGCTCTGGAACTTGCATCCTTCCTCGCGAGGGTGAAGGTCGGAGGTGCAAGGGACATGGGGGCGGCAGAGGACTCCGCTACACACTTAGATACTTTGCAATTTTCTGACTGGGTAAGTTTGCTTTTAAATAGAACAGATGTTAAACGTAAATTAAAAAGAGCGATTAAATCTTATTCCTCTTCTATCATCTTCTACGCCTTATAAGGAAAACAGCCCATATGTTTTACTGTGTACCTTACCTTATAGGTTATGGTTATTGATAATCATTAGGAAAACAGTCAAAAGTTACTACTTTACGAAAGCTTCTAGAATTTGACACCACCGTTATAATATTACGGTTTAGTTACCAAATTAAAGTATTGCTATTAATTGGCATTGTGCTCAGGATTTTGAATTACATAAATAGATCTGTATACTGCAGCGTTTAGGTTTAGCGTTAAGTACCTATATATTAGGTGCATTTATATGTACATACAAATGTAGGTATATGACAATATAGGAACTATGTTGTTTAGAAAAACAAATATATTACCTAAGGTCCAAGTTATTATTATATTATATTAATTTTAAAAAACATATGCGATATATATATACATATATATATATATATATATATATATATATATATATATATATATATATATATGTAGCTAATGAATTTTACTCTAGGTAGGTCTATAAAGTATGAATATCACAGCTTGTGTACATACAACATAAAACCTTATTAAGACTAGCAAGTGGGAGGATTGTTTCTAGTAATTGAATTCTCTTTAATTAATTTTGCCATTCTAACAATGTAACTTATTTATTGAGATCGAAATCAATTTCGATATGTAGATTAAATGTGACGCAATAGTAATTTAATCATATGGTGGGTGGAACATTATTGGCGAAATCTGATATCTGTGAAGTTATAATATTATAATTATAATAACAACATAACAAGTGAATTTAATTAAAACAAGATTTAAATATGTTCTGTTTCACTAATATGTTTGACGTGTTATTATTTTTTTAGTTTTTTTTAAATCTAACGTTCACTTATAAAATGGAGCCGTACCTTCTTTATTCTAAAACTAGCGACTCACTCTCGCTTCGCTCGGGTTCGTCCCTAGATTGATTCCCCATACAAACTTGCATCCCCATTTTCACCCCCTTAAGGAATGATTTCCGGAGAAAAAGTATCCTATATCCTTCCCAGGGTCTCAAACTATATTCTTAACAAATTTCATCTAAATCGGTTCAGTAGATCCAGAGATTACCCCGTACAACCTTACAAACTCACAAACTTTACTTTTTAATATTAGTATAGATGAATGCACAGTTTAAGGACCGAAGAGTACACTTAGATACTTTCATTTATCCTGGTTTATGTGGAACAGTGTAAAATGTTAGTCAAGGCAGTGATACGAGTTCGCTAGACGTTCCCATCATCACTATATATCGATTTCATATCTACCAAAAATATTATAATCATTCGCAAGCCACGGTATGCGAATATTTCGCAACGTGCCGGTGACGGCGTGCGTGCTGATGCCAGCGTAAATATTAATAGCGGCGTGCTCTCTAGGAATTTTGTGTTGAATTAATTAGATTAGTCCATACGGCTGTATGGTGAGCGTGTGAACGGGCACCTGGTGCAGGTGATTCGCTCGTTACCCACAGACACAGTGGGTGTAAACAGTTTTAATTGTACCTATAAAGCGCTTATGATCGTAGTAACTTACCATTTTATGCATGATATATACCTAACCATTACTTAATTTATTAGAGATTGTAGTTTTTTATTTAGAAATATATAGATTTGGAAGAGTTGAAATTTGATGTTTTAAGAAGACAAGTATTTGATGTATAAACAAATGATTCGTGGACTTAGATATTTTATTGGGAATTGTTAAATAATCATAGAAGTAATGAAATGATTTAGATATTTCCTTATACAAGCATGCCAAGAGTAATTAAAGACAAAGTTCTTAGTAAAAGCATTTCTATTTGTGGCGTTGAACTCGTTTAAATGCTCAGTGTTATGTAAAATACTAGGTAGTTCTACTTTAAGTTGTTTTGCGTGGAATTTCGCATCTGCTGGTAAACAATGCGATCAGCTGTAGCGCTATTTTTAATTCAAGGTATAAGACCTTAAAATTTATGTATACCTAATAAATTAATTGAAATACCACACATGCTTCTTCAGAGCTCAATGAACTACACAGCTGGTAATACGCACGCGTGGAATTATTTATATAATTACGCCCCCAGCAAATGAATGGTGCTTAATAAAGGTGTAACTTATTTATATTAATTACAAAGAAAGTCAGTCTGAAACATTTTTGCAGCTATTACTCTAATACACTTGGGGGATGTTGGTTTAAATTCCGCTACGAAGAGAGGTTTGTATTATCAAACAGGGAATACTATGAAGGTGTTCGTATGGCGTCCTAGATAATCAGAGAAAAATTCTAGTAGGTACAGTCGGAAATCATTTCTGTCTTATAAAAGCGTAGCGTAACTTATATATATATGATAAAGTCTAAACTAACAAATCATTTGGAAACAGTGTAGCGATAAAGCCAAATACTGTTATTTCTATTTTAGTTCTCATTCTCTTAATGGTTTACTAGCCCTGAATGATACAGTAGCTTTCCAGTGCTAATATATTGCCATGTTAAGTGATAGCGACATTTGGGCAATGTTAGGAAACCGCGGTCACGAGAATGGTAGCTAAATTCTGCTTAATCATATTATTTGCCTTTTACTGACGTGTTTGATGAAGCGTACTGGCGTCAGGTCTGACCACAAACTACTAAAGACCTTTTATCTCAATTGGGAACAGTATTACTTAGGGTTATGTTGAGCATGTAAATTTATTAATATTTAGCGATCGTGTAAACTTTGTTTACTAGAATCGATAAAATGAGAAACGTTTTTCACTTTTTAGTCATCATTATGCCAAGAACTTGGTTTTACTGTTTAACATATCTAAAACTAGAAGAAATAATCTACTTACATCTTCAACCCACACCATTGATATTATTTTTCTTTATTATAGTCGAACCGAAGGATTTGGAGAGCTTTACAAGTATGTACAGAAATTCAAGAATGTTTTTAGTATTTCTCTTATATGTTGCTTTTAGTGTTAGCTCACCAAACTCATGAATTTAAATTTTCCTTATAAGAGCGTATTGTGGTCATAAAATGTCTAAATTTATTGTAGTAATAAGGTATACTAGCTGGACCTGTAGGTGCAATGCATGTAAATTAGTCTATTCATTATTTATGGAATTCACTGGCTCCTGCCAATTTATTTATAGCAACGTAATTCAAACGACTTATTGCTTTTAAATTATTCCAGGCGCGCTTCTGGATGCAAGTGATTGGGGAACTTCGGATGGGAGTGAAGCTCAAGAAAGTTAACTATTCAAGAACACCGATAGAATATGAATTGACTCCATATGAAATACTCATGGACGACATTAGATCTAGGCGGTATACATTAAGGAAAGTCGATGGGGCGATACCGCAAAGGTAATAAATTTGTCTTATATAGAACGTACTCAATTACTCTCTCTATAGCTCTAATAAAACCAAGCTTTTGCACTTAAAAATTTACAATTAATGTGCAAGCATATTTTTACGAGTATTTGCAAAGTTTCTTTGAAAAAAATAGCGATCAGACCCGGCTGACTCCATGCAAAGTATAAATTGATTGCTTTATATCTATATCCATCATCGCTACGAGATAGAATACCTGTACTAATTTGAATACAAAAAGTTTCATCAAAATTGATCTAGTAATGTTCGTGTTGCTCAAACAAAAACTGAAATAAATATGGTAAAATTGGTTCATAGGAATTACCAAACCAAATTAATCTAATATACATAAATTATGTATTAGTCTAGTATTCTTATATTTGGATTGCTTAAAACAAATTAAAAAATACTCGTATGAAATTCAAAATATAATTACCAACGGTAAATTAACAGTCATGCAGGTTAGCTTATAAATTCTTTCTTCACATCAATGTTCAATGATATTATTCAAAGTTGCTATTTATTTCTTTTATATAATTAAAAAAATATTTATTATTTTATATAATATTAAAAAGATTTTTCTAATGTCTACATCGCTTAAATATATTTATTTTTGTTACAGTGTCAAGAAGGACGCGCACGCGATGATACTCGAATTCATTAGAAGTAGGCCGCCACTCAAAAAGGTATTATATTATTCAGATTTTATTGTGGTAAAGTGAACTTGGTGTCTGATGTTATGGTTGATAGGAATCTGGTACTTTGTTACTTGCTACTTCTTCATTAGCTTTCCTCGAGTATGAGCGTAGGCACGCGTTTTTTTTTCACAATTTGATGGGTTTTAATTTCTATGCACGGAACTCAAATTCTTTTTCTAAAATAAAAGTTTCCTATGTTACTCGATATACTCGTAACATGAACTATCTGCCACTGAAAGTCCCGTCAAAATCGGTTCAGCCGTTTCGGATTTATTAGTACATTGTCGAGCACCAATAAAATGAAATAAAATGAAAATAAATAATTTTAAACTTTTATTTTTAATATCATTACATATTTTTATTGTTTTTTTTTATTTATTATTTAAAATATTATTCAAATAATTTAAAATATTTCCTTTAAAAAATTGGGGTTTTTATTAATTACTATTACTTGTAAGGTGGTTTCAAAGAAAAACAGAGTAATTTAAATGAAAGAGCTTTGAAGTCATTTATAAAATGTTCCTTACTGATTTACATTTTATAATCAATCCCATTCATACACATGGGACATTCACTTTTTTCAATTATTTTATAATAAAATACACATGCAAAAATCATGATGAAAACAAATCGGACATGAGAATATCAAAATTACGAGACTCGGGATTTGAACACACTACATATTTTAGTTTAAAAAATCAGTAGGTACTTTATCAGTGGCTAGCGCGACTACGACTTGACTCCTCTCATACTAAAAGTGTTCAACTGTGAGACGTTAGAAAGGGCTGTCAGAAACAACAATAAAAAAAGTGCGTATGTGTATAATTCACACATGGTAGTAGTGAAACTTAAGGAAAGTAACAACAAAAAAAAGTAGGATAATTATAAGGTTAATTTTTTTTTGTAATATTTTTACCAAGCTTAAAACTTATTTTATATTTTATTTAACATAAATATACATTTGTCAGACAATAACAACGGTTACCATGGCAACATGGCAATGTATTCTATCTCATTCTCTCGCCGGCTTAATCCTATATATTTATGCGTTTGTCTCTTTTTAGTGTCGCATTTCCGTTTCATCGAGTTTCAAATCACAATGATTATAAAGAAGTTTCACTTATTGTATCTAAGAAACTATTATTATGTTACACCAGGCCTCAGAACGCAAGTTACCACCACCGCGACGAGAGGTGACGCCGCGAGAACAGCTGCTGGCGTCCATACAAGTTGGCAGGCAACTAAGGCCTACTCCTTACTCACGGCGGTTATGTAAGTACAATTATAAATAATTAACTCATTGATAATGTATAAAAATATCAATACCCTCTTCCTGACAAAAATTACTTCTAAAAGTGGCGTCGACATGTGTCGTTGAGTCAAATCAAAGAACAAAATTCAAAAATTGAAAGTTCTGATTGTCTATAAATTCGAACTTACGAACATCACATAAAGTAGTTTTTTAAACGAACAACGTGCGTCTTAATTTTGTAATTTGAAAAGCAATGAACCAAATAGATTTGAAAAAGCGCATAATTTCGAATTATATGCATCTTTTTGAGGTCACTTTTGAGACGCTTATTGTGTATCTTGAGTTTTTGTGGATAACTCATATCAATGAATTAATGCTATAAACTCAAATGGAATAAAGAATATAAAAATATAAACATATGGTGAAATAGATGGCTTTATCAGCTAAGTCAGCAATCTCTGCCAGACATCCCGAGGATATGTAATATCAAGAACTCTCTTGATATTTTACAATTTCATTTCCAAACGATTTGAACTCATAATATCCATTATCAAATATAATTACTAGATTTTTCATTTAAACTTCTGATATAGGTAGCATATTTAGGTTATAAATATAAATAAATAATTAAAATGTTGGAACATTAACACACATCACCATCTAGTTCCATGGTAAGCTACGTGGCTTGTGTAATGGATACCAGATAGTTTAAACACTGCTTTTCTTTTAGTTCACAATTTAGACTATAGATACTTAGACTACTTACACAGTACCCTTGAAAGGATATTTGTATACAAACATGTACAGGGATTTAATTGACGCGACTTGTGGCTCCATATTGTGTTCACTTGAGCCTCCTACTATATGTATATAATTGCTTGAAACCCTCCGTAATAGAAATATTATGCTTCCAGATTCCCAATCCTTTCTCATCCCGAATCCCGAATCCCGAAACGTCCATATGAAAATAAAGTGAAATTCTTCAGAGTAATTCCGACAATAGTAGAGTGCTCATATCGTTGATTATGAATATAATGTTTTAAAACTTTTCAATATTTTACGTTTTATTTTACAAAACATGGTAATAATTACGTCAGATTGCGCTATTGCTTTTTATTTTCAACAGGCTCTATGTGCGTACAACAGTAAGTAATGTTCGTTTATTTTGACCGATACGAGTTTACAATTTATTACAATTTTTAGTTTTATTTATTTTTAATTTATTTATTTGCAGTTGAATTCAAAATAATAATTAATTAAAAAAAATAAGTTAAACTCAAAAAAAGTTCGTTTAGAAAGATGTAGTTAACTTGAAAGAAATATACTGATCTTAAATAATATATCATATTATTATTATTCTCTTTAGAATTCACGGGCTCGAAGGAGCCCGGTCCTTTGGAAGGCTTGTGTGAGGACACAGGTTCAATACGTAGAGCGCCTTAAGCGATTCAAGTTTGTTTAATGTGACATATGTCATCGACCGTGATCCATCTCTGAGAAGGGAATTGTCAATAATAATATTATTATTACACGCGAACGGTACTTACTCAAAAAATAATGCGAAATGCAGATATTTATATTTTAGATATTGCATATTCCAAAGAATCCAAACATCTTAATTAAGTACGTTTCATGGCTGACATAATTCTCTAATGGCCTTTTACATTATTAAATTGCAAAAGCCTTTTGGCCCGCGGTCTAGTTTCACAATGTATCAGCACACAATGGTAATACATGTGATGGTACAATACCGTAATAAAAGTGGGTTGCCACCTATTAAGATAGTGTTCTATCTTCTCTATCATATTAGATAAATCGTAAATTATATTATATTATACTTTCTTAGATTATGTTTTCTTAGATTTACGCGAATATTTGACATTTTAAATAAAACTATCTTTACGGATTTTTACGCGGATTTATTTTAATTTTTGGTTTCTCTTTTCCGTGATTGCAAAAATATTATAAAGCATTCGAAACGTCGGGAACCAAAAATCTAGATAAATCCGCCAAAATATCTGAAAAAATTGTTTTATTTAAAACGTTAATGATAAATTAACATTGTAAAGCACTTTAGCCTCTATATTGTCTTTGTTTTAGTAGCTATTTGAATTTTATCCCGAAAAATTTACGGTTTCCGTGGGATAGATTTGTTTTTGTCTAGGAGCGACCTCGAAACCAAGAGAGGGTGAGTCAGTAATAATTTTATATGTAAGTTTGTATGTATGGGATAATCTCTGAAACTCAGTATGGGATTCTGATAATTGTTTCACTAATAGGAAGCTATATTACCACCGAGTGCTAAAAGGTAATTTTATTGGGTTACAATTTTAATTATTAAATTCAGGAACAATTTTAAAGGAAGAAATGAAAATAAATAATTAGAAAGAAAAACGACCTAGTAAGAGAGTTTGTAAACCAATTTGTAATCTTGTGGTCCAAATCATCTGTATGAAGCTGTATGTACTGAATAATAATTTTCAAAATTAGTATTCTACAGTGTAACGAATCTAAAGTGGATCCAAACGTTTGTAATGAGAATCTCTTACGACTACTAGTAAATTCTGTTAGAAGAATCGCCTTATTATTAAACTAGCGGCTTACCCTCGCTTCGCTCGGTTTCGTGCTAGGTATGTTTTAATGTTTTTGAGCGGAACCGTAATTCTTTTTCTAAAATAAAAGTAGCCTATGTGACTCTCTATAACATCAGCTATCTTCCAGTGAAAGTCCCGTCAAAATCAGTCCATCCGTTTCAGAGATTATCCGGAACAGACAGACAGACAAAAATTAATTATTATTTCCGTTTTTAAGGTTCTGTAGACAAAACGAATGCTATATAATTTTTTCATGTCAAATCTATTTTATTTGATGACTACTGGAGTTATATTGCTGAAATTTAGTGTAGTGTAGACAATTTTTTAGACAAATTACAAATACATAAAATAATATTGTTGACACTAGGATACTAAAGATGTAAGTAAAAAAAAAATTAAGTCCACATGAACGTGTGGACCACCTACATGTAGGTAAGGTCTCTGGATAAATCTTTGAAATTGAAATAGTGGCTAAGTGACATATTTGTTTAAAGAAATGGTTGTCGAATTATGATTACATTATATGCATAGAATAGCACAATATAGGTACAATAGGTTGGTAAATACGAGTATGTACATATGTTACACGATATTTTCGTTTATTGTAAAAAAAAAACATATTTTTTTAATGATAACTTATTTGAAACTTTAAGGTCAGATCTGTATGAATTAAGAATAAAAATACTCGAGTTGTAATTTAAGAGTGTATACTTTTAGACAGTCCTACACTTTCAAGGTAATTTTGATGTGTATAAGTCCTTAGTTAAAATGTATTATTTACATTGTAATAAAACTAGATAAAAATAACCATAAAGTGTCGCTGTTACATAACTAAATCACTGCGGGTCTGTGCTTAGTACTGTCTAAGGTCATGTAGAAAACCTAAGTATTGATCCGTCTATGTTTCCGTTCTATTTTTGTGCTCGTATATATTTAAAGGGACCCACCTTTAAATAATTTTATCGTCGTGTATTATGGGCTAGTTTTATTTTTAGGGGTTTTCAAGTTACTATGTTACACTCGAAAACGATAGAATTGAATAAAATTAAACTTTTCGTAGGTATATCTATATATCGCCGTAATGTTTATTTGTTCAAACTCCAATACTTGTTGTAATTAACAGTAGAGATTTTCTTTCTTCTATATTAAAAATAAAGCTTTATTTCTAAAGTTAAACTATAAAGAAAAAACATATTTTTCGTTTTTAGGGTTCTGCAGCCGAAGGGTGCCAACGGGACCATATTACGTATCATGTAGGTACAATATCTCCGCGATCAATGACATAAGTATTTATTATATATTTATAAGTATTATTTGTATAATAACTTTCATATAAATAGGAACACACTTATACAGGTGAGACTGGTTTTTAATTAGATGAAAAGCCGTTACGTAATAAAATCCGTAAGATTTTAATTGTTTATTGGTAAAAAGGAATGCTGAAAACCTTAGCATTTTTTGTAATACCAACGTAAGAGAAACGAATTAAGTTATACACTTTAAATCTTACTATGGATGCATTCAGATAGGATTCTTTAAAGTAAATAAAATATTAGGTACTTTTTGTAATATATTGTACAATAAATATATATAAAAAAACCCGAATCTAAGAGATTCAATATCGTAAGCTCTTTGTAAGTGAGAGCTTTTTAATTATCAACTTTGTAAGCTAAACTTGGAAGTTGAGCTTAATCTACTTTTAATTGGAAACTTACTAAGTAATATATATGGAAAATCTGGATGATGATAGAAACATTAAATTATAAATACAATCTCGGTGGTTTGAATTTAAAACATAGCTAAAATGTACGATAAATGGCTGTCATGTTTTTTGGTTGTATAGTGTGTACTGAATAGAAATATGTAAATTATAGTTACTAGTATAGGAAGCTAGTTTTTTAGTGTCTAAATAGAGGACCAAATTTTAACGGTTTATTTTATAATAGCCCTAAGATTTTCCTAAAATTCAGCCCTTTGATAACGATGGCAACAATTGTATGGAAAATATTTTTTTTTTTTATAGTATTCTGAATTAGTGCTTGACTACGTTCCACCTGATGGTAAGTGGTAACGCAGTCGTAGATGGTAAGTCGCACTAATTCAGTAGCCACCTATTCACTCTTGCCTTGAAGACACCCATGTTGTAATCGGACGGAAACACCGACGCCGGCAGGTTGTTCCAATCCTTAGCCGCACGTATAATGAATGACGTTGCGAAACGCTTCGTCCGGACGGGTGGAATGTCCACGACATAAGGAAGGAGACCAGCCGTTCGTCGGGTTGTCCGATGGTAGAAAGGGGATGGAGGAATCAAGCCGTGTAGTTCCTGCGCACACTCTCCGAAATGTAACCTATAGAATACACAAAGGCTGGCAACCCTACGTCGGTGATCGAGGCTTTGTAAGTTAGCTTTTACCAGCGTAGGGTCACCAATAAGCCTGAGAGCACGCCTCTCAATTGAGTCTAAGGCTGACAGATGGCACTTCGCAGCACCAGCCCAAATGTGACTACAGTATTCCACACACGACAGGACTTGAGCTTTATATAAAACAAGAAGCTGTCCCGGTGTGAAATACTGTCGGACCTTTGCTAGTATGCCAACTTTCCTTGCTGCGACATTAGCCTTAGACTCAATGAACCGCCCGTAGTTCATATTGGGGCGAATGTCCATGCCCAACAACTGCAGACGGTCAGTGTATTCCAGAGGTACATTCCGGAAAGTAGTAATATTACTTCTTAGCCTTCTTAAATCTTCATTTAAGTTTTATATTTTTTGACAAAAAAATTAATGATTTATTTAATTAATTACTTAATTGAACTATTAATTTAATATGCGTTACGGAATTTTTAAAATTCATACAAATTATTTTAAAATTGAAAATCGATTCGTCTCTAGAAGCCCAGAAAGCATCAAATTTAAAAAAAAGGTTGTATTTAAATACTTTTAAAAGCAGATGCACATAAGAATAAAATATTATTATAAAGTTGATATTTGTTTATAAAGGAATGGTGTTAAGTTAAAAAAAATATTTGAATTTTCAGTTTTCATTTATCTGTCATTCCGGAACACGTGTACTGCTATTCTCCACGCGCATTGTTGTACAACGCAAATATTTAAGTCAGCAAAGAAAGCAGCGTTTCTCAATATTTATATATATATATATATATATATATATATATATATATATATATATATATATATAATATATATATTTGTATTATGTTAAAAAACATAATTACGCATTATAATTTTTTTTATTTCCACGCTTCTTATCTAATAGGTAAGGTTACGCGGAGCTAATTATTATTATGAAATATCTTTTTTAAACCACCTTTTTTGTGTGTCAAACCGCCGTAGTCGGTAATATCTCAGACTGTAATCTGACATTTTAAAATAAGAACAAAAATACATTCAACAATGGACTGGTACCTAAACGAGGAAAAAGAATAAAAATGCAGCTGAGTTGCATAAACTTGTCGCTCGCTTTGGATCGGGAATTAGGTTTTAGTTATGTCTTGGAATATATATTTTAGAAAATTAAAAAGTCTTAAATAGTAATACATACGAATAATCCCATGTAATTTCCGTTTGTTTATATTAAATTTAAGCTAAATGCTGTTTTAGTAAAAAAATCGTATTTTATATACTGTTTGAAGAGAAACAATAAAAAAATAACGTAGATAGATCGAAAATATAACATTTTATAAGTCATGATTTATATACCTCAATAGTACAGAAGCCAATAGTAAAATTAGAGTTATGTATAAATCTTTGAGAAGCGCTGTAACCAAAGACATGTAACAATCTCGCGTGCCGCAGTTGCTGCCCGATCTTACAGCGGCGCGCTTGTGTACCGTCTTAAAATATAAAATCTAAAGTGGTTTATTTTTATAAGTGAACTATAGCAAAATGATTTGACATTTTGAATAGTTAAAATTATATAAATGTTCTAATTCAATTACCGCGAAGTGGGGCTTCGTGTGTTCGAAGTACACGTAGTACTATGTAAATGCGATTAAGTTGTGTCCGTGGGAAAATATACTATTGATAATTAAGTGATCATTGAAATCGGAAACTATTCGGTTGTGGAAGTGTCGGTCACTATCTGTCGGTACATTTTGTGTTGGCATAGTGACTCTAACCATCGATGATGGGAGTGTGTGTGACGAATACCCTCGCTATGGACATAAGTCGTAAGTTATATCGTAAATAAGATAATAGAAAAGATTCCGATGAATTGAGAACCTCCTCCTTTTTGGAAGTCGGTTAAAAATAGAACATAAGTTTTCTTTTTGAAGTAATGGTCATGTATCTTTATTGATGAGTTATGCTGAACAAATTTTGATGCGTACCTTATTTCTACCGGTGACTGTAATTATACTACTAAATAGTGATACTTACTGAGAAGCTAAAACGAGGAAAATTTATTGTTTTTATCTTTATTTTTTTTAATTTAACACTGTTTTTGATTATGATACATATCGACTATGTTGTTACGTAATAATGATATTGTGAATGAGTTTAGAAATGGTATTTGATGTTATCGCCTCATTTATCTAAACGTACGTGAGATTTGATACAATAAGCGTGAAAACTTTGTATGAAACACCAAGTTATGCGGTTCATTTTTAGTATCTACGTATAAAATATAACTAAGGTATCACTATATACATAGCTAATTTACATGATTACAAAACAATTTTAACCCCCTTAAGGGATGATTTCAGGGATAAAAATTCTTCATCATTCATTCATCATCATTCATCAGGGATAAAAAGGCTTCCCAGGGTCTCAAACTACCTTCCTACCAAATTTCATCTAAATCGGTTCAGTAGATCCAGAGATTACCACCTACAACCTCACAAACTCACAAACTTTACTTCTTTATAATATTAGTATAGATACATATATGTATGTCAATCAAAAGAATTTACAGGCTAAAATTATATTATCTTCCATTGGCCATAATTAGTTTACTTACAATTTTAGGACGGTAAGTCTAATCAGGCAAGAGCGTTACCGTTCCATTTGACTTCGCCTCTCTCTTGTATAAAACTAGTGCACAATCACTTCTTGCATAACAACATAACCTATGTACTTAAACATAAATACTCCAATAAACACCAATTTGTTTGCCAATCCCTATTTTTGGATTCCGTTGGAGTTTTCTATCAGTCATCTTATGATATCAATATTTATTTACATCTACTTAATGCAGAAGTGTAGGTACATAATGTGATAATATTACATATCTATACATATAATAAAATTCTGAGTCTAATCTGTACATTAAATATTTTTTGGAAAATCTTATTGAAATAGTTATTATTATCAATACAGAGGCCGAATCTATAGTTTTTAGAGTTTTTATCTCTTTGTCTGTCTGTGACCGATTCACAAAAAAACCAGTGGACAGATTTTGATGAAATCTGGTGTGATGATAGCTGGCTATCCGGGTCAACATAATATAGGATACTTTTTACTACGGGAAAATATCTCATCTCTGAGAAATCTATACTAAACGTTAAAACGTAGCTAGGAACGAACTTGAGCGAAGCGATGGTGAGTCGCTAGTAATTTATATATTAATTTGACTTGACCGTTATTCGAAGCTTACGTATTGAGATAGGCATTACCGTTTCCGCCGTTTATATATCTATCCTTGTCTATCCGTCTACTGTCTCGCTCTCTATCGCACCACCTGGCAGGAGAGTGGGGATCGGTGTGAACGATTCCCACTCTTAAAATTATTTCTTCATTGGCGTCTTGTTTTCCGCCGAGTGCAGTCGTGCTGGCTTGGGCTCGCACCGACTATACAAGTAACTCGTAGCATTATAGGAAGACGTTTCTATGTAAGTTTTTGAGGTAATCGCCAACAAAAATTTTAAAAGGTAACGAATCACACCATGTAAGTACATTTACCTTATTTATTATCATCATTTTTCTAGACATTTGTTTAGCACAAAATAAAACGAGTAACAAATACTTAATAGTATTTGAGAATTAGAAATTTAATGCATGTTATGTTAAATAACTGTTAAAATGTTTAAAAATGTTTTTACATTAACTGCAATTTTTAAATTAATACCATCATGATCTCCCTGCCTATTTCATGCCATGATAATTCAAATTAATATAAATTAACACTACGTAATTCAATTTAGCTTATAAATCTTGTTTTACTATTGACTACATAGATTATACAATGGTATAATTCCTACATTTTAATCAGTTACCTTGCAGTGCTTTGCTTACTAACTGTTTACTTTTAGAATATAGGGGTTTATCATTGTTAGGTGAAGCCAACATTTGGCCTATTTAAGGAACATAAACGGCGAAGCGCAGGACACATATTAATATATAGGTAACTTTTACATAAAATATGCAGTGTTGCAAAAGAGAGGGAGCAACACGAAAAGGGCATGTGGAGACATCCGATGATGCCAGTAACTCGCATTTGGAGCATGTTCCGACAGAAATATAACTAAAATAATAGCCGTACAGTTCGCGTGAGTATGCAATAATTATACATTGTTCAAATGGCGTAAGCAATTTGAGGGTATAAACAAGTACATTTTTAAAGTGAGTCTTGAAATTAAATACATATTTAAATGTCATTTTTATATAACTATGTAAGTTATATACCTACATATTCTTGTGGTTCATGGATAATTGACATTGACATAGTGTAATGGAATATCTATTGGAATTGAGAAATCATTTCAGCACTGTAAACAAATAAAGTTATTACAGTTGTAGTATATATGTAAGTACGTGATATGAAGCGTGAAAATGCTTTCGGAAAAAGGAAGAGCCTACTGGTGTAGTTCACAATTTCATATATTTTATTTTCATATTCATTTTCAGCAGACAATACGATAGTTTATAAGCTTTATTTCAGTTCAGAGCAAAAATGTAGTTAAGATGTCAACACGAGTATCAACATGAGACAACATAAGGACATTAATTATTTTTCATAACACTGCCATGGTACATGTGTATATTGTTATTAGACTAAATACAAATCTTAATTGCCTTGAAGAGGTCCTATGAGCTGTATTTTATAAATAAAACGTCTCCCCGCAGGAGTACGTAAAATGGTTAACCCTCGCAGGGTTATTAGTTATGTGTGTACCTAAGGAGTATCAAAGGTGACCGTTATACATTTACGCATACTACCTACATGCAAATACATACAGGTGGTTATGTGAGACTCATCGGCAAAGCCTGTATTACCCACTAAAATCAAACCGAACCTACCCTGTCTTAAAGGGGCGTCGCAGGATTGCCGGACGTTAATGATCCCTCCACCACGACAAGATAAGCATATAAGCACATTGGAGGAGGATCTATGGAGACCCTAACGCTGAGATTTTCATCTAGCTGTGATATTAATATCATAATCACAAATGTTGAATGTAAGCCCCGTTCAGTGAGCTTAATATGAATATAAATCCTCGCGGGATTGACAATATACTTGTTCCACAAAACAATCTCTACACATTTTTTGATTCTTGTCAGAGTGTGAGTCACATATTAATTTTCTCCAAGAGAAAATGGCAGTGAGTTTAATATGAATATAAATCCTCGCGGGATTGACGATATACTTGTTCCATGAAAAAATCTCTACAGATTTTTGATTTGTGTCCAAATGTGAGTCACATATTAATTTTCTTCAAGAGAAAATGGCAGTGAGCTTAATATGAATATAAATCCTCGCGGGATTGACAATATACTTGTTTCACAAATCAATCTCTACAGATTATTGATTCTTGTCCAAAAGACAATGAAACAGTGAAACATCAGGAGAAAATAGCAGTGAGCTTAATGTGCAGTTTTGATCTCAATTGGAGTTTGATATGTATAGCATAAAATTTAAGCTATGCGTTGAATGGTCACTTACATGATATAGTTTGGTTAAATTCACTGAATTAGGACAATCGTTATATTACTGAGCGTATAATTGTATAGGAAGGCATCGTCTCAATAAGATTGGTTCACTCTTATGAAGATACAAGTCGGATTTAAAAGATATAAATTTAGGTATGTATGTAATATATAAACTCCAAACCTGTGAATGAGTTGGCTTTTGAGCATTATAAGAAATATTATACATAATATTATTATTTTTTTTGAACATATGGATATCGTATATCCATTTATCAAATTTCTAACCCGCACTGGGCAAGGGTAGTGGCCAATGGCCTGATCCCCCTCTTATTAAGGGAGGCCTGTGCCCAGCAGCGAGTCATTAAGACTTGCTGAATACGTTAAAAAGTATAATATTCTATTCCAGTGGTCGAACAGCCGAATCCAAATGGTTTTGGCCAAGGCAAATTATTAGAAGAAACAACAGTGTACCTTTACGAAGTGCATACGTTACGGGCCTTTCTGAATTACGTTGATTAAATGTAACGTAATGTATTTCATATTAAACTGATATTCCCACTCGGGGCATCAGGGGCAATTGCTATTTTAGGCGTTCCTGCTGTGCTTGTAACGACAGGTCGTCTTTGTTGCAAATTAAGCCTTAAAAAGCCTAAGAAATCATACAAACATTACATGTTGGTAAGCTACGGCGTTGAGAATTTTCAATAATAATAAGGGTATTGAAAGTTCCAAGAACGATAAGACTCAACGTTAAGCATGGAATATAACTTAAAATATAACATTGGCAAATACTACTACTAATATATTAAGAAACTGACATTTTCTCAAGGAAGGCTTGAAATGTAGCACATTATAGTGAAAATTTATCCTTAATTTTGGATCACATTTATAAACTACAACGGAAATGACGTATTATGATCATCGCTAAAATTGTAAGTTTTTGACATATTATTATGAAACCCCAGTCTGACAGCTAGGGTAGTTCTGAAAAATATGAATTATAGGCACAAATTGAGGAGGTACGTAATACATTATAAAAATTATCCTTAATTTTGCGTGACATTGGCAAGTAATCTTTGCTTAAGTGACACGTTTTTGTAGCCACTAACAAGATAAATTAATGTCCATTGCTTGGTTATGGATTTTACCAAATGACCGACTTCTACTATATAAAAGTTATGGCGTATATTTGATGAGTCTTGGTTTTATAAGTGACATTGTTTTAAAATTTATATAATAGTACTCGTGCCTAAGAAGTGTTCTCAATTTATTGTCATATGTGGAAATATCCTTTGATGTGCAT